CCACACAAACAAATCACTTTGGTCTATATATACATTTACACACAGACAGACACACACACACACTCACACAGACACACACGCACACACACAGACACACACAGTTGCAAACGAACGCCTAGTTATTCAATTATACACAGACACAAACAAACACGCAAAGACAAACAAACATACAAACAAACAAACACATACAAAAACATACAATGCATCTTTCTTACAAATGTTTCCATTCCATTCAGCTAATCCATCATATTTTTAAACAGGTTATTATTATGTTAACATAAAAATTGCATATATATATATATATATATATATATATATATATATATATATATATATATATATGTATACCTGTGTAATTGTGTATGTGTTTATATGTTTTTTACCGCGCGCGTGTGTGTGTGTTTGTGTGTATGTGTGTGTGTGTGTGTGTGTGTGTGTGTGTGTGTGTGTGTGTGTGTGTGTGTGTGTGTGTGTGTGTATGTAGAGAAAGAAAGAGAGAAGAGAAAGAAAGAGAGAAGAGAGAGAGAGGAGAGAAAGAGACGAAGGGACGGACAGACAGACAAACAGACTGGAAGATAGAAAAAGAGAAAGGGAAAATAGAATTGGAATGAAAAAAACGCTTCTTTATATCAAAAAAAAGCATCTTTCACACATACATACACGTGCACACAGACACACACGCACGCACGCACAGTCACACAGACATGATGATTTCATTTAACATAAGCACCAAACACATGTCTTACAGGTTTCTATTTTTTCTACCTGAACAAATATTACAACTGCTGTTACTACTACTACTACTACTCTTACTTAATTATAATAATAAATATTTATATAACTATTTATATTTTTAATTAACATTATTATTAATTATTATTATTGCTGTTGTTGTCATTTTTATTACTGTTATTAATGTTATTACTACTACTACTACTATTATTTCTACTGTTGTTGTTTGGTGATTGTGTTGCTTGTATTATTTATATTTTATCATGTATGTCGCGATGGTGTAGCGGTAGAGTGCCTGGCACTACTTTTGCAGTGGCTAGATTCGATTGCGAAGAGATTCCGGCCTGCCAGACGCAATGTGTGTGATCCGTAGTTGTCGGTGCTTCTGAAATACATTTGAAGAGAGAATTTTAATGAATGAATAAATAAATTGAAATGTTTAATTAATAAGATTTGTTGTTGAATTCCTCCCCCCACCGTTATAACTAATTATTTCCATCCATTCCGCTGCATTCTCTGACTGAATGTTGTTTTCATGAAGTTGTTGGGAAATGATAATAATGATGAAAGTTGTACAGTTGGCGGTTGATGATGTTGTTTTTGTTTGTTGTTGTTGTTGCTGCTGATGATGTTGATGTTGTTAGTGTTATTGTTGCTGCTGCTGATGTTGATGCTGCTAAAGTGGATGTTGTTGTTGTTGATGTTGTTGTTGTTGCTCCTGATAATGATGTTATAGTTGTTGTTGATGTTGTTGATGCAAATGTAAGTTACCCAACAATGGCGACAACGACGAGTAAAAATGCCAATTCCTAAGCAATATCAATCCCATCCGAATTTGTTCTTTTCTGCTTAATGACCGGAAAGACTATTTACACACGCTCACGTGCACCTGATAAGATGCCATTTAAACAAGAGATTCTGGGGTGCTACCTTTGGAAAGGTGTCAGGGTAACCGACAGAAATATGACAAATCATCAAAATGAATAATCAAATAAGAAAATTCGTTTCAAGATGTTGGATGGGGTTGAAGCAGTTTTTTTTAAACCATGCAACGTCAGGTTGTGCAGCTTTTGAAGTGTCGGCGAGGTCAGATGTCTCTAGCCGAACCTGGTTTTGAAGTTTCCAGCTCTGGTTTGATCTTTGAGAAAGATGGACAAAAACCGTTCAGAATGGGATGGAGAAGAATTGTTGAAAAATAAATTATTGAGACAGACCTGGAGAGGCATGTTGTGCACGGACATCTAGTGGGATTGAAGTGATGATGCATCGGTAGTGGGCAAGTAATTGTGCTACATGTTGGTAAGCATCGGAAAAATTTCACTGCTGGTGTTATTACCGCATCGAGTACAAATTACACAATTTTTAATCTTCAATTTTTGCTTCCATCTACACTTTTGCTGCTACTGCTAATACTACTGCTACGACTACTACTACTACTACTGCTGCTGCTACTACTGCTACTATTACTACTACCATCACCACCGCTCACTACTGCAAATACCCAGTGGCGGACCCAGAATTATACGATGGAGAGATAATTTTCTAAAGTTGACTCCTTTCTCTTTGTTGCTAATTTCTAATTTTTGATTAGTTTGACTTAAGACAAAAATAGTACAGGTATGTCAAGATATTAGTTATCATCCCTTAAATACCTCATTGTCATTGCTTAATGTAGGAAATGCTATATGAAGACTTGAAAATATGTTACAACACATTGCAGATTCTTTCTTCCATGGTCTAGTAGGGCTGGTTCTCCCTGAGTCCACTTACACAAATATCGCACTTACTACTTTGGTTTTTTCTATAGTTACAACAAAAAATGACAGGGTAATGAAAATAAAAATAATATAGCACCATTAATAAAACGACGAGAAGAAACTTCATTCAGCCAGACAGTGCACAGCACCACCAACCAGCATGTTGCCAGCCAGGTAAAAATTATATGATGGCAAGTAATTAAGTGCTAAAAAAATTATAAAATGAACTATGGAACGAAAAATAAGCGGGTGAGTGATGGAACGAACGCGTGGATGAACAAGCAAATAAACAAATCACGAATAAAAAACAGAGATGAAAATTAAACTGAAAAACAAATGAAAATAAGTGGCAATGAGTTTATTGAACCTTCGATATCACAAACCAGGCTGTGAGACTAGGGACTAAATAGTTATTTAATATATAAATCATAAACGCATGTCATAAACGTTTGTAAATAAAATAGATGAGGCGGAATATTTTCCGTTGCTTGAGCCAGGATTTGGAACTGAAACCCATCTCATTGCTGGTTGATTCAAGAGTTCATTCAGATGCCAGCAGTAAAGTTTTGAAAAAACCATCGCCGAGTCAAATTTGGAAATGGAAAAAATATTAAAAACAAAAATCGGACGATCGGCGCATTTAAAAATAATAACTCATTTGAAGGCCTCCGCAAATTCGTTTCATAGTTTGAATATCTCTGTATATGAGAAAATAATGTGCGAAATATGCATTCATTTTTTAACCATTTTTTTTACACAAGACTGTGGTGTTCAAAAATTTACTTTTACCTAATAAATAATTTTTTATATTGTTATAATTTTTGTTATTTATCTTCAAATATTCATACATCATCTAGTATGGCATGGCTGCATTTATGATTTATGTAATATTCGCAGGTAGGAGGAATGTTTGTATATTCATCTTTTCTGGTTAGGTTAATGAAGTGTCACATCTAATTAGTGCAATCTCTTTTCCTCCTCTCACAATTACATTTGCACATAAACACTCAACGAATGGTAGGCTTATCGCAGACACACATATAGTACAAATGTGTTTCATTTGCAAAATGTGCGTGTATGTGCGTGTATGTATATACGTATATATATATGTGTGTGTGTTTGTGTGTGTGCACGTGCGTGTATGTGTGTGTGTGCACGCACTAGGTTTTTTGTGTTTATTAACAGATTTTTGTAGCTAACCGAAATGTATGATTACATCTTTGGTCTTTTTTTCTCATTTCTATTTCTTCTAATAAGTTTTTTGCTTTCGATGTTATTAATTAATATGTTAAAAAGGAACAACTGTGACTTTGTTTATTTGTCATGTGCGCTCATGTACCATTGCAGCACTGAGGAGTGTGGTTGGACGAAAATTTTCTTTTTTGTTTCTTTTCATGTTATTTTTAGTTTTTATACTTTTTATACTAAATAAATCATGCAACACTGAAGTTAATGTGGTTAAATTATTGCTGGCCATTTCACTGCTGCATGGTCAATTGGTCATATTTGTTTGACGTCCGACATTTATTCCATTTTTACTGAAGTAACAACATTTGCACTCGTCTTCTCTTCATTGCCTATGTTGTTTAACACCCAATAAAATAGCTTTACATGTTTACAAATACTCTCACACGTACACACACACACACACACACACACACACACATCTCACACATACACACAAATGCGTGTTTGTGTGTAAAAGTGCGTGTGGGAGTGTATAGATAATATATTTTTTTGGCTCATACACATATTTGATGGTTCATGCATATTTTGTTTGTTGATTGAAGGCGCACCCGAAAGGTGAGGGCCTGACTCCGTACCAGGGCAAGAAGAGATGCTTCGGAGAGTACAAGTGCCCCAAGTGCAAGAGGAAGTGGATGAGTGGCAACAGTTGGGCCAACATGGGGCAGGAGTGCATCAAGTGCCACATCAATGTCTTTCCGCAGAAACAGGTTATTGTTTTTTTTTTCAATGTTTAGTCTTGTTGGGAATCTTCAATTACACTTGTAAAAAATGAATCATCAAACCGATAAGAATTGTTGGATGGTGCTCAATGAATAATAGGCTGAATAACATTAAAACTTAATTGAATGGAACTGAAATAAATTTGTGAAATATATCGCCACAAACATCCACTGATAAACCTCAATTGACTAGTAAGGAAATAAAAATATTTTCCTACTAGCAAATTGACGTTTTGCAAAATTGAAAAGTGACAATCTCAATTTTGAACAGCGGCCTCTCGAGAAACCAGACGGCTTGGACGTTTCCGACCAGGCGAAAGTTCATCCCCAACACCTCTGCCAGAAATGCAAACAACTCGGCTACTACTGCAGGAGAATCAACTGATTCCTTCACTTATTAAGTGTTTGTCTGTCTGCTGGCTGGCTAGATGGCTGGCTGACTAAATGGTTGGCTGGTTGATTGTGGGTTGCCAGATCACACTTACAACACAAAAACTCTTCGTAAATAACTAAAAAAAATTTGAATATTAAATAAATAGCCATTTATCATTTATCGTTTAATGATCAGTTACTAATATAATTGTTGCCAAATGTGATGCGTTGAGGTTGAACTTTCATTAACATTCAATCGGGCTCATCTACAATATGATTTTGTGGCTCCGTACTATTGGTATCATCACATATTTTTGTTCAACGAAGCTGTGTGCTAGCACATGTGTTGCGGATGACGATAACACTTGTGTACGCGAAGATGAGGATGAGTGGTTATTATTTTTATCCATTTAAAAACTAATCTTTTGTTCACTCAATTATTCGTTCGTTCGTTCATTCATTCGTTCGTTTGTTCGTTCATACAAATAAAAAATGTATGAATGAGCTATATATATATATATATATATATATATATATATATATATATATATATATATATACATGGCCCACTTATATTTTTATTTGTTTATTTATCAATTTATTTACTTATTTACTTTGTAATAATTCATTTAGCTAACCACTATTTCACCCACCTACCATCCATCCATCCATCCATCAATCCATCCATCAATCCCTCCCTCCCTCCATTCATCCATCCTTCCATCCATCCATCCATCTATTCTTTCATCAATCATTTCGTCCATCCATCTATCACATCAAGTAGAAAGTTTTTGAAACATTCAAATTGTTCAAGTTCATCCATTACTTTGTAGTGTTCATATGCAACAAGTCGCACACACATACACACACACACACACAAACACACATTTGCGTACACACACACAAATACAAACACACATACGTTTATATACGAACGAATAGACATAACTACATAACACACACACACACGTACACACACATAAACAAACACACACACACACACACATGAAAAAGCAAGATAATCGAGGTAGCGTTGATTTCATGATAAGACAATCTCCAGTCAGCTATCTCAACATTTTTCATTTTATTTCATTCTATTCACTGGCCTATCATTTTGCGCCTCTGGTTATTTACATGTCCCTTTAGCTATTTACATGTTCTTCTACATGTTCTCATGTTTGCTTCCATACTTCTTCGCCTCCTTTTCTAAGATCTGTGGTAATCTGAGATTGCTTGTGAAGGCATGTTTGGCATATACAACATGTGTTTTTCTCAGAGGTTGATACGTTTGTTTGTGTATGTGTGTGTGTGTATGTGTGTGAGTGAGTTGTGTACATATATTTATACTATATATATATATATAGTATAAATATATATATATATAGTATAAATATACTATATATATATATAGCATAAATATATATATATATATACTATATATATACATACATATATATAGTAGTTATATTGCGTGTACGTGTGCGTGTTAAAATTACACTTGTGTTAAAGATAATAATTGTTTATTTGTTTGCATTTTTATCTCTTGTGTGTGTGTGTGTGTGTGTGTGTGTGTGTGTGTGTGTGTGTGTGTGTGTGTGCCTGTGTGTGTCTTACGTCTCTTAATGGTTATTTTCTTACTAACATCATCTTGACTTTTTACAAATTGTCCCAAAAAATCAAACACTCAAATTGCATGTAATAAAGTCGCATCAGTGTAACTAGGCCAGTTTGAGCCACACAATGTCTCACTACTAAGCTAACGTAACCATCATGTCATTCTCATGCTATCAGTTTAATCATTTTTAATCACCATCGTTATCAGGAATTTTGCCTCCATCATTGCCTTGATCATCATAATCATCAGCAGGATACATCATCATCATCATCAGCAGCAGCTCAATACGTTACTACTATCATCATCATCATCACAATGAGTTTCATCATCGTCATCACTACTACGTCACAACTTTCTTCTTCATTATTGCCATCATTATCATCTCCATCTTCGTTTTCATCATCGTCATCACCATCCGTGCCGTCAAGTTTAACAAAACAAGTGTAACATTACCAATTGTCAGGTTTCTCAAACAGCTCTATGTGCATGTTTGTATGTATGTTTGTTTGTATGTTTGTTTGCAAGTTTGATGTTTGTTTGCATGTTTGTATGTTTGTTTGCATGTTTTTATTCTTCTTTATGTGATTGTTTATTTGTGTGTATATATGTTTTACTGTATGTATATTTATTTGCATGATTGTTTGTTTGTTTGTATGTTTAGATATGCGAGTCTGCCTACATGTTTACGTTGTTTGGACATATATGTTTGTTTATGATATTGCTTAAATACGTGTATAACTTTTCAAGTATGTGCCTTTGTATGTTTACACATTGTCTCGATGTTTATATGTTGGCTAGATAAGTTATGTACAATTGTTTATGTTTATCAATTAGCGATTCATGTTCAACAACTTTTTATTACATTTATTTATAGATTTCCAATTTTTGAGAGTCTGTTTGTGTTTGTGATTGGTTCTCGATATGCAAAATGTTTAAAGTAAAAATACTATATGTATGTTTATGTTGTATGTTTGTTTGTTTTTTTGTTAGTTAGTCTGAGCGTTTGCTTGTCTGATTGTATTACAAATGGCAAGTGATCATCATTGTTGTACGACTTGCACACAAGTCTTCGTGTATGTGTAACTTGTATATAGGTTTAAGTGTAAGTGTTTACGTGTATGTGTAACTTGTATATATGTGTACGTGTATGTTTGTGTTTATTTAAATGACTGATGTGTTGAATATTAAGACTGACGACCTCTCCGTGATGGATTGGACCAACATCTCAATTAGATTACAATTCAACCAAACTCGTTCTTCTTATCTCTCTAACACTATTACCACTATCATTGCTTGCTACACTGCTACTGCTGCTGCTACTACTATTACTACTACTACTACTTCTACTGCTACTACTACTAAAACAACAACAACAACTACTACTACTACTACTACTACTACTACTACTACTACTACTACTACTACTGCTAATTCTACTACTACTACTACTACTGCTACTGTAACTTCTACTACTACTACTACTACTACTACTACTACTACGACTACTACTACTACTACTACTACTACTACTACTACTGCTACTGCTACTTCTACTACAACTAATAATAATAATATAATTAAACAAATGTTAAAACCGAATTTTACGATTTCGTAATTTTTAAAAAATATTATTTGAGGAAAAATTTTCAAAATAGTCATTACTTCCATAAAATTTCAAAATTCCATCTAACACACACACACACACACACACATACACACTTTCTCTCTCTCTCACACACACACACAATGAGTATAAATGGCAGTCAGTTAAGATAGATGTTGACCTGTTCAGCTTCTGAACACCAGTAGAGGAAGGTACTTTGTTAGGACACTTGTACGATATCTATCTGATACCTATCCATCCTGATGGTCTGTTTGTGTTCTTTGTTTGTCGTTGTTGTTGTTGCTGTCTCTCGGTCTCTTTGTCTGTCTGTCTGTCTGTCTATCTTTCGGTCCGGTCTGTTCTATTTCTAATTTTTGAAATTCTTTTAGATAAATCTTTCCTTTGAAACTGCCAATGATGGTGATGATGATGGTGGTGATGATGATGGTTGTAGTGGTGATGATGATGAGAAGAAGGAGGATGGTTGTGATGATAACGATACAAAGATGATTGCAATGACGAGGATGATAATGGTAATGACTTGAATGATTATGAGGACATGATGGTGACGATTGTGATGATGTTGATGATAGTGACCATGATGTTAAGAATAAAAATAATGATGATGATAATTATAAGAAAGCAGATGATGATGATAACGAGGACGGTGATGATGACGATAACGCCATTTGAATCGATGGTTTTGATAATGATACTGCAGACTGTAAAGGTTTTAATTGCGTTGAAAATAAAACAAACGAAAAATTTTACGATTCAATAAACTGAAAAGAGTTGGTTTGTTGATGTTTTATACTGTCGTTCTAACTTTATGTTCATGTTGTTGTGTGATGATGATGTTGATGGTGGGGTGATGTTGTTGTTGTTGTTGTTGTTGATCTGTGGTGATGTTGCTGATTCGTTTGTAAGGATGTTGTTGTTGTGTAATGACGTTGCGGTTGTGATGATGATGATGTTGTTGTTTTGTTTGTGATGTTGTTGTTGTTGTTTGTTGTGGCGATGTTTCCTGTGCAGCTGCTGTTTCTATTTAGTGTTCATGTTTTGTACATGTTGTTTTCCTTATTTGATGTTGTTGTTGTTTTATTGTTGATGTTATCATTGTTGTTGTTTTATTGTTGATGTTATCATTGTTGTTGTTGTAATTTGTTATCATTGTTTTTTTGCGAACGGTTTTATAGCCTGAGTAGAGCAACAGCAGCAGCAGTAACGATCTAACTAACAAGCAAAACCACAAAGAAGAGAGTCAAGTTTAAATTTTGTGAGTTGTTGAAATTTTTTTCCATTGTTTTATCTCGCTCACTTTTTACAAGAAAGAAAAAGAAAAATAAAAGAAATAAAGTTAAGTAAATGGCAATAAAAATTTTTATTGTTCTGTGCTTCTTTTTAATGCAAGATATCATTTGTTGTTGTTGATGTATGCGTAACGACTGCCTATCCATCCGTCTATATATCCATCTAGCCATCTATCCATTTTTATATTTATTCATTTTGATATCTACCCATCTTGTTATCCGTGGCGTGGCAAATCCAAACTTTTACGATGGAGGTGATTTTCAAAGTTCCAAAGTTGATAACCTTTTTCAGTTAAATTCCCGTTTCAGTGGGTTGAATGGTTTTCAAAATTATTGAAAGTTGATGATTTTTTGTTGTTGTTAATTTCCGTTCATATTTTACACAGGATCTTCGATATTTTCTTCTTTCATTGTCTGGCGGGACCGCATCCCTCTGAATCTATCCGTCCATCCATTTCGTGTTCCAGTTCATCCGTTTG